GCTTCAAGCGCTCCTGCTGCTCCGCCAGCGCGGCCAGTTTCCTAGCCAGCAACCCTGCCTGAGCAGATTGTCGCTGCCACGGCAATGTGTCTGCCGCGAGCAAGCCAGGGGCGGTCAAGCGCTGGCAGTCATACTGCGCTCCCTGATAGTCCCCAGGGGCGGCATGCCAGCGCCGCAGCTGAAGGATGTCATCGCTGACTTTGGACACGATGGCTTCCATCTGGCGCCGCAACCGCTTCAGGCTAGTGCGCTCACGATATGCCGCTGTCTCCAGCTGTCTCTGTAGGGCGTAGTAATCCACGAACCTGGCTGCAATGGAAGCATGTAGCTGCTGAATCATGAACCTCTTCCGCTGACCCCCTATCTCCTGGTACAACCGGTCTGCCTCCACCCACCGCAGCTGTACCCGGTGCCTGCGCTCCCACGCTGCCAGCTTGCCCTCAAGGACTCGGCGGTGCTCATGCCGCATTTGCTCGGAGAGCGATTGCTGCCCCTCAGCTGCGAGAGTCACACTGCCACCCAGCGCGTACAACTCCTCCAAGCAGCCTTGGTAGTGGTGCTCCCATGTAAGACGGGCCTGCGAGTAAGAATCCTGACATCAGTGATTCATGCATCTTTATGTATCTTCCAAAGGTGTGCATCCCATTTGCTCTTTACAAAAACTCCACCAGTATGCACATCCTGTCATGTCTTGTCCTGTCATGTCATCTACAAGAGCTTGCATCATATGAAAGGAGAACTCACCAGGTCCGTCATGTAGTCCTCCCGCGTGGCAGTCGCCATGCGCTTCAAGATGTGTGCAAATTTCCTGTAATGTGCCCAAGCCTGTTCAATGTTGTCACCAAAGGAGTTTCCTGCCGCTAGCATGCGGCGGGCGCCATACTTTTCTTGGCATGCCGGAATGTGAGCCTTCACATGCCACGGCCCCACTGCCAGGCCAGGCATACCCTCCACGTTTCCTTGAACCATCCTGCCAGCACAACACATCACCATTCAAAGGGGACGCTGCTGTGCACTCCGACGAATCCACACACTCATAGCATGACTAGTACTAGACACTAGGAGTGAAATTGTTCCATGCAATAATTGTACAGGGCACATCTTGACGTAAACGCCAGGCATGATGGACGAAAGATTATACCTTCGCCAATATGGGTCAAACTGGCAAGCAATGTCAATGAAGAAGTACTTCAGATCCTTGCCCTCCTCAGGCTTGAACTCCTTCAGCAGACGCTGCAGGAGCAACTCGTAGTAAACAAAGCACTCCGGTGTGAACAGGTTTGCCGCCACGAGAACATACCCGTGGCGGCAAACTGCTGCTGCCACGCCCTACGCACAAGCACATGCGGGAGTGTCAGACCGGCTCCAAAGCACCAGCACATCTTCTTGTTACACGCTTTCCTGCCAAGCAAGGTACATCCTGCAGAGCTGCAATTTAAGGCTGCCATAACCCTACCCCTTGTTGAACTCGCCAGATCCAAGCAAGACCCAATCAACCGTGGGCATGGTATTCAGTATTTTTACCACCTGAAGCAAGGCACGCTAGGGTGCTGCCAAGTATTACCCTTGCCAGCCGGGGCCAGGAAAAAAAGAGAAAAAAATCATGGATATATGAGATGCATGCCAACATCAGTAAGCGCAACAAGATCCCAGAAAAATGCGAGGAGACTCACTTGCACATATAGGCGCAGCTGCGTGTCTGAGGCGGTTGGCGTGGCAGCAACGAACTGAGAGCAGACCGGCCGCTCCAGCGCCGCCGGGTCCAAGGCCTTCCGTTGAGCGAGCAAGGCCTTCACCTCTTCATCAGCAATGAAGGGGCTATAGGGCAGCTTCGGCTGCAGGAAATCAGAGGCTTTGCCCGCCGCCCTGAGCTGCGTGAGTCCCAGGCAGGCGTCAGCAATGGCTGCCACGCAAGTGCGAAAGCAGCAAGGACACTGCACAGTGGGGCCCCCGGAGGCACGACTGTCCAGAGATTCCTGGGTCGCCGGGCCCACCTCAGCTGCATCTCTGCCAGTTTGAGCCGCGAGGCTGCCTGCTTCCATTTCTGGTGGCGATGACGACGCTGCTGCTTCCCTCTGAGTGTTCTCCTGGGGCGGCGGCGGCTGGCCGAGCTGCAAGTCTGAGTCACCGCTGAGCCCTGCCTCCGAACAGATGGGCTGCACGCCAAGCCTGTTGAGGTCATGTGTGGCGATGTCCATTCTGCGCCACTGTCTGACCGCCACTGGGAGGTTCCTCCAGATATTTTTGGGCAGGCCACTCAGTTGCCCGTACGGCACACAGCCGTTCCTGACGTGCACCTCCTCCAGGGCGCTAGTCCAGGCGACCATTGAGGTTGGGCTGGCGAGGCTGAGCTCATGCGTCTGCAACATGAGCGCTCCAGAGTAGTAAACCAGCGGCCTCTGTGGCGTTGCAGGAAAGCATCCCATGCTCACAGGATCGACTGTGAAGGCGGCACTGCACCCGCCACACCTGAATGCTGGGGGGCTGACCTCTGTCCTGCCGCTGATCGAGACATACACAAGCCTGCTGATCGTCTCCACCTGCTCCCACACTGATCCCACCCTCCCAGCCTGACTGCATGGACTGCAAGCGGGCAGGGCTGCTCTGGCAGCTGTCAAAAACTCTGCCTGCAGCTGCTGCTTCAGTGCTGCTTGGCGTGCAGGCTGACCAGCTTGGAAACATGTGTTCCTGAATACATTGTCATCAAAGCACGCATCCCATGCTTGGTGCAGCCGTCTATTATCCTCTTGAGCTGCCTGTTTCCGCAGACGCCGGCGTGAGGGCGGAGGCTGATAATAGGCAGCAGCGGCTTCTCCATCTCCATCTGCAAAGCCATCCTGCTGTTCTTCCTGCTGAGCTGTGTTTCTTGCAGGGATCCGCCAGGATGGAAGGGCGCTGGCCGGCCTCCGGGGTCCCCTCGGTGCAGATGTTGCCACAGTGCTGCCTAGGTTCCTCCCAAATCTGCGGCCTGGCTGCAGCAGAGCAGGAGTGTCGGCTGATGGTATCACCTTGACACTGACCCTCCACCTCTTGTTCCTGACCATTCGTCCTGCATGAAGTCATCACACAACGGTTTCTGCAAGTGATCCACCAGGACATTAAAGGAATGAGAAGTACATCAGCAGCATGCCTTCTAGTACAAGTGATACAACTATCCTTACAAGCACCTGGGCTACTTGCTACTCTTTGGGGTGCACAGTCCTCTCCAGATGCTCCTCATCAGATTGGCATTCCAAGCAAAGCCAGGTCAGGGCAGACACCCACGGCTACTCACAGCAGCAGAGGGATCGTAACGCTCACCAGAACAATTGAACTTGATGTTGGTTTAGATTGTAGACGACTTCAGTGTCTGTCCGGTGCATCAGTGCTCAATTCAGGTGAACGCTCTGTGTTGCCTGCACGCATTTCATTTCAAGGAATTGGCTTGGCAGGGCATGCAGTCACTACGAAAGAAGTAGACATGCACGTCGATGGTCGTGACATTCGATTAGCTGAGTCCAAACAAGTCAAGGATGGGGATGCCAAAAAACCGGCAAAAGTGCGAACCTCACATGGCCAGCGACAGAAGACTTCAAGAATTCGTTTAAATTACTCCCATAAACATTTGCGGCCGTCCCACCCCCCTTTCAAATCCTACTTTGCAACGGTAACCTGGCAAATGGCATTGCTGTCTTCGCAGAAACGAGTAGCGCACGATCCTATAGATACAGGCTTGACCGAAATAATTAGCTTGACGGAGGTACTATGCAATGCTGAGATTGTTGTAGGTAAATCTGAAGGATGTGCAGCATTGCTTTTGTTATTGCACGCCCCGAAGGGGCGTGCTCAGAAAGAGAGCCAAATCCACTAATGTAGTGGAGTGCATGTCCACTAAAGTAGTGGATTTTGCCCGACAGAGTAGGATGCACGATGTGGGGACATGTCAAAAACCCTACATGCACTCTCAAGTCCATCGTCAGCTCATGGAAAAGGTCTGATGTTTCCTGGTTCCATATTACTAAGCAGGGTCTGGTTGTATGAAAGATCTTCGTCACCATCGCTGAGACAGGTGTTGGCTCGACAAAGCCGTCCTGCGGACGTTACAGAAAAGGTACATTTCCAGCAGTGAGGCCTGTTCGAGGGAGAGGTGAAGCAAAACACGGCATTAAACAAATGCTAAGATAGTAGATCAAGTATATACTGCACGCTCATCGTTTTTCGCGCGGAAAACCACAGTCCAATACTCAATCTCTCATCCTATAAGCAAGGGGTACCGTACAAACAAATCTTACAAAATATTTGACCGGTCACAATATTCTCAGGAAATTCCTGCCAAGTTTCCAACCAGCTGGTGCTGTGATTTGAAGGGAGCGGTGGACTTGAGGGAAGCCCTCGAGGTACTTTTGGTGTCGATCATTTTCCCTGACAAGGCCAATCCTGTGTTCATTATCCCAAATTCAGCACGATTTCTTTCTCTCAACATATACACTGTGCTGGCAGGTGAGTTACAGCGGACGAAACAACATCAGTACTGGACACACTAGAGGACCTGGAGAAGCCTGAGGGTGTCTGGAACGGAATGAATGCCAACTAGGAACGCGGATCACCTGTCCCTGCCAGGAGAAATGCCAGCTCTGGACATCGATGGGCAGCAATCCCAGGTCCGCTCTTCCCACAGCAAAGCTCGAAGGAGTACCACCTATCATCACCTGGATGTCCGGTTAACTCGGCTCCACAGGATTTGAGGCCAGTCCCAAAGGAACGGAATACATTTTCTAAGCGCCATAAGAGCCGTTGGGCGCAGGGAATTGCAGAACTTTCAGCCGGTGCAGAAGATAGCATGATGGCTGAACAAGATCAGTTTGTCAACACTCTTATGTCGCAGAACTTTCAGCCATTGCAGATCATAGCCTGGTGGCTGGACTTGTCTGGTTTGTCAACATTCTTCTGTTGAAGTGCGCTGAATTTCTTGTGTGTTTGTCTGACAGGCGTCTCCTGCCAGCCCGCCTCCGCGGCCGCCCTCGCCAGACCAACCCAGGAGGAAGTCTTTTGTCGCCCGCAGTGTATCCAGGTGTCTATTACACCACTTGTGCCACTGCAACTGCTCTCACAGAAGCCTTGAATGCATGCGCTGCCTTTACTTCACAGGACTCAAAATAAAGATTTACCGTATGTTCCGATCCTGATTCCGAGTCTCTCTGTGGGCCTTGGTGGTTACAAAGCCACCTCGTGAGATTCTCTGGGCGGGGTTGAGGCATGCAGTGATCCTTGGCAGCTTCTCTGACTCGACACTGTTTGGCAGATGTCCATGCAGCTGATAGGATCACACACTGCATCAAATGAGCAACGCAGGGAGAAACAGGACTGGCTTCTGCTTGGGGAGCAAGAGTGACTGCAACATAACAAACTCAAGGAGCAATGAGGACCGAAACAGAAATAGGATGGCGTGTTGATCCTCGAGAGGGGACTCTCTGACAAAACTCGAAGATATAAAGCTATCTGCTTGTCACAGGTCGCTGTCATGGGGCGGTGCCTCTCCTTCGGTGGAAAAACTGGAAATGCGAGCGCAGCGGATATTCGGCGCAAAACTGGGCGAGTTGCAGGATCCTCTGATGGAGGTGGACATCATGACGCGCACGCCGCTGCAAAACGCGGTCGTGGTGAGTCATCACATGAGTCATCACATGACCCTTGTAGCTTTCGTGGAGTGGTCAGAGAAGAGCCCGAATTCACACGACCTGAGCAGGGTTTGCGGGGATTCACACACCTTGCTTGCCCTGTTACACACAGAGGAGAGCGGGAGGTCCATTTAATGCCTTGAGCACACGAATTTTCTAGTCCTCGAGCTGCATGCGCGCATGTGCGCACATGCCATTGTACATTTCCGTTTCCAGGCACGCCACAATCAGATCCCAGAGAAGGGGATAACCCGAATTTGTGACTTTGCTGCTGCCGCATCAGGTATGTCCAGGGCTTGTGCCCACTGCTGTTCTACCGAAGATCCTTTTTTTGAAAATATTGAAATTCCTGTGACAGGCATTGGAAGAGACATTTCTGGTGGCTCGCCTGACCATTGCGCTGTACTCCTACCTGGGTCTGGGAACTCAGTGGACTGGGAAACTGCTGCGACTGATTCTGTACGCCATGCTCCTGCTGCCAGGCTTCATTCAGGTGCGAGCAAATTCTCAACCCAAACATAAAACTTAGAGACTCTAAACCCTTGAATAAACAACCCTCTGGTGTACCCTAGAAAAATATCCAGATGGAATAAAGCACGATGCAGAATCTGTGAGCTCAATTGCTGCTGCTGCAATGAAGCTTGACGTTTCAGTCTGGTTTGCTGTGTTCGCCATGATGCCCTGTTGCCGGAGCTAGCGGGTGGCAGAATCGAATCTGCTGTTTTCCAGACGAGCAAATCACCTCGTGTCTTTGGGCGTGTGCCTGCCATATGGCTTGCCTGAGATTCACTAGACTCACGAAACCGTGGACGGTACACAACAGAAAAACTAGAGTGTAGTGCGTGCTCTGCCAAAGTCATCCAAGCACTGCAGGCGGCATGCGCAACTGCCGGTGCCAGGTAAGTGAACTACAAGGGCGTTGCAGTGTACACCCTATAACAGAATATATAGAGTTTTGGCAGAAATATCCTGATTCCTAGTATTCATAGACATCAATCTTGCATGTGGGGTGCGCAGATGGCGGTGTATTATTTCTTCTCGCCGCGGGTCACGCGGTCCGTAGTGTATGGTGCGGCGGCCCGTAATCGGCTCGACATCCACAGACCGCCCGCGAGTCAGACGGTGCCGGAGGGCGGTTTCCCCGTAGTCATCTACATAACTGGTTAGTCACCCCTCAGTAATGGGAATTTGGCATATACAGACACTTATACATTTCCTCGTGGGATGACTAGGCACAGGGCTGACATGGGCGAAAGTCCAGTGTGCACGCTATCAGCTGTCCTGCTGATCAATTCAATACGCGAATAATCATTTGGCTGACATTCTGGCAAGAGACCTTGCTGCTGCACCGACACATGCTGTAGGCTGGCATGCATAAGCTATAGCAAGCCTGTCAGACGCGTGCACTTGGGCCCTTGAATTCGAATGGACCATGCATCAGCCAGAAAGGCGCTGGTAGATATTCCGAAATGCTCAGTGTGAAAGGCCCACAAAGAGGCTTGGCGCCTCCTGGTGGCCACTATGGCATCTTGGAAGGGCTTGGGCAAGTGTGTTATTAGTACCAATGCACATTTTCCAATTCCTGGGCAGCTAGGAGTACGTCTGGGCAATAGGGTTTATATTCCGGGGGTGACTCCAGGGGGTGCGTGGACTATTGGGTACAAGGCGTGGGGGTCGCTGCTGGGGCGGCGGCTGAGCAAGCACGGCGTTATCGTGTACTGCCTCGACTACAGGAATTTCCCGCAGGTCAGACCCTCTGCATGTCCATCATCCATCGTAGTGTGATGGCAATTGAGTCTTTGCTTTGCAATGTCAAATTCACACGTGAATCACATGCCGCCTGCATTGCTTGGGTGCGAACTTTTGCCAGGCATGACAATTTAGTTGCGGTATACTCCACACCAGACCACACTGCACTGGGCAGTGACAGACTGCCTACAAGACCAGTGAGCCCCAGGTGGCTCCCAACAGGTCTCTAAAATATATGATAAGAACAGCTGGATTCGCTATTTGATTCAGCTATTCGGTTACATGCTGGCCACATTGTTGCCCGGCAAGGCGTAGGTGTTTGTGGCAGCCTTACTGTGGCCTGGGCAGCCAAACACATTGTCTCATTCTTCCAGGAAACACAGGCGACGTTTATAAATTACATTATAAGTGACTGATCACAACGCTGCAGGGTACTGTGCTGGACATGCTACGGGACTGCAACACGGGGATCAGGTGAAATCTCAACCCTAACCTGAATTGTACCGTAAAAACTGAACAAAACAAAATTATAATGCAGTTAAAGAACTGCAACACGGGGATCAGGTGGGTGCCACGAGGAAATGCAATCACTTCACACCTGCAACTGTTGTGAATGCAACAATATGCACAACAGGCTTTCCAGCCTAAACCTGAGCATGAGTAAATAGATACGGACCGAGCCAGGATCCTTTGTTCGTCTCTTTGGGATCCCTCTTTTCATGTCCGCCCGAGAGCTTTGACTTGACTCTGACGCCAGTGTTTCTGCCAATCCTCCTTCGTTGCTGCACGCCCTCCAGGCAGATTTTCAGTCGTTCATGGGAGGAAGGAAGGTGACTGACAAGGTGGTGTGGGTGTATGTATCAGGTGGGTGCTGCACCATGCGCAGCAGCACGGGGGCGATCCCTCTCGCATGCACCTCGTCGGCCAATCCTGCGGCGCGCAGCTCGCCACGCTGGCGCTCATCACGCAGGTGACTCATCATTACCTTATCATGTTTTAGCACTTGTGACTTACATATTTGCAGCGTTCACTGGCAGAGGCCAGCACGCATGCATGTGAGGGAAATGGGCATCTGCACATGCAGAAGTAGGAGCATATGCTGCAGGTTGGGCCTGTCGGGATACATAGATATGGCCAGCACCCACTTCAGCAAAACTCCAACATCCCAATTCCGTTGGGGCCGATCTGTGTTCTGTGTTTTTGCTGGAAGTGTGGTCCTCTTGGAGAGCTCACAAGTTGAGGGAAAGCAGGCTGTTGGCAATTTCAAGGCACAGGTTCTGCCTGTGACAATTAAGCCCTGCCGTAGGCATGTGATGCATGCTGAAGCCATGCTCAGGTATACAGACTTGTCACAATGTCACCTTGGCCATTCCTGGGGCACTTCGAGTCCCAGGATGCTCTCTCAGTAGCAGTCACTGCCGGCTGTAGCCTCAGTTCATTTTTCCACAGCTGGTTTTTCGAAGTTGGACTCTAGACATTTGGGATTTGAATTCGAATTTTCTGTTGCAGACAAAGCAGGATTGCTATTATTTCATTCTGGACTTGGGATTTGAAGCCGAATTCGAATGATTCCGCAGACGAAGCTGCACCAAGTTTTTAGAATCTGGAGTTGGAGTTTGCACCTGAATGTGAATTTCCTGCCGCAGACGGAGCAGGACCACCAGAAGGCGCAGCTGCCGGGCGGCTTCCCGGCCTGGTCCCCCCGCAAGGTCCAGTCACTCATCGGCGTCTCGGGGGTTTACAATTGCTTCGACCTGGCGGATCACTTCAACCAACGGGGCCTCTACCGCCGCCTGTTTGACCGGATCATGTCTGTCAACGGCCGCGCCGCTCTGAAGCTCTTCTCTCCTACCTACTGCGTAAAGGTGGGCATTGTTCCTATCCATATAATGATTTTCAGAAGGTACAGGCGTGCAAGCCTCTTACACTTAGGCGACAGACCCACATTAGTAATGTGTGTGAGAAAAATGCACCTGTCTGTGAACGGCTGCGCTGCACTGAAGCTCTTCTCATCGAGCTCCTGGGTCACAGCACGCTCTCACTTTTGCAAAGATCACTCTTCACACAAGTGCCGTTTTGAGACATTACAGACCTTCATACATGCGGGCTATTTCCATCCTTGCACCATGGTTTTGCATGGCTCTAACGTTCTACAGGGAGGGCAATTAGTACGTGCTGCCGGATGCTGCTGCAGCTGAAATGTGCTGCTGCTACAAGACAATTTCCCAATGGTCAGAAAGCCTTTTGTGGAAGCGAGTGGGGGATTGACTAGAGCAGGTGCACAAATACAGGATCAGAGAAAACCTATCATGAACGATTTAGAAGTTTGTCAGGCAGATATGAGAGCAACAACAGTCTTGCATTGAAATTCACCCACTTTGTGTCTTATAGAATTATCGACCCTTCGACCCGTCGATACTAAATCCTAAGTCCTAAATCCATATTCCCTAAACCCTAAGCTAAAGTGGGTGAATTATAACGTCAAGGCACAACACAGATGACAAACTGGACACCTGGCGTGGTAGCTAGGATCAAGCAGGCTGGGGCAAAAGAGAGGCCAGCGAAAGGCCAAACTGTGTCACAGCAGGAAAAGACCTGTCAAGCTCCTGCATTATGCAATCTCAGTCTGTGATGTGGCGTGGGTGGGTGATGTCAGCGCTGACATCATCGGTGATGTCATCGCAGGGCGTGGAGTGGGGGGCGAGCCTCCCCCGGGTGCTGCTCCTGCATGGAACGCGCGACACGTGCGCCCTCTATTCCAACGCAACCCAATTCCGAGACGCTCTGCTCGAAGTCGGCGCCAAGGCGAGTCTCCCTCCCTTTCACGCCAAGTGCGCATCTTAGAAAAATCAGGGGCGAATGCGAGACATGCAGGGCAGTGCAAGTTATTATTACATTGCAGGTCGGCAAACCCAAAGCCAGAGGCCATAGGGCATACATGCAGGGCGCGTATTGGATAGGTACAAAGGGCTGCCCCAGTGTAGGATGCACTGCATGTGCGCGCCAGGAGGATGCCTCCTTCCCAGGAGCACGAAGTGGGTTATGGTTGAGCAGTCGGGTATGGTTGAGAATAAAGGCAGGCCCAAGCAAAACCCAATCAACCGTGGGCACGGTACTCAGTAGCCATACCGCCCCCCGCCAACAATGAAATTATTTTTCGGTTATTCCAATTTGGGTCTTCGCGGTTCACGAACCCCTTTTGGAGGACACCGATTATTATATTTGACATATAATGCTGCTTATGGCAACCAGCGAGGGTGGGTGTTGTGGGCTGCAGATTGTTCTATGGTGGCCTCAGATGGTCTCTTCGTAGCTTTTCAATAGCTGGCACCAGCCTGAACAAAATTGCTAACCATCATGGGGTCAGTTGGACCTGGGACAGTTTCTATGGACATTAATTGCTTGCACCAAAATAATGACAGACTGCCCAAACTCCCAAGAATGTACCCTCTATGTATGTGCAACATCAAGTGAAGGGTTAGACAAGAGATGCCAGACTTTGGCAGAGTTTGGCTAAGTCTGAAGTGAGTATCCCAAAGCTAGTATGCCCCCTCCTATGTACCTGGATGGCATGATACTGCGCATCCAGAAGCAACACTGCCTGGGAGCAGGATTTGCGAAGGGAAAAAAGAGAGGTGCTGCTTGAAGATTTTCCGGCTGCTTAGATTTGGCGAGTCTAACAAGGGGCAGGATTGGGGCAGCCTTCGACTGCAGCTTGTCTACAGGACGTACCTTACCTTTTTGGCAAAAAAATGTGTTATATAAAATCTATATTTTAACTGCATGGTGATTCCCCTTGTGCGCAGGTGGAGCTGCGATCGTACGAGGGGGAGACGCACACGAGCCCGCTGATAGAGAACCCGATGCGGGGGGGCCACGACCAGCTGGTGGGCGACATCCTTTCGGTGGTGGGGGGACCTGCCAAAACGGGGGGGCCCGGCGAGAAGGGGTCCCCCACGCAGGCCCCCCTCTGCCCCGCGATACTCATTAATGCAGCCGCTCGCGTGTGTCCCTTTTGAGCAGCGGGGAATCTTTGGGAGTTGGTTCGCTGCTTCCTGGTGGGGTTCCCCCGTTGCATCGCTGCTATCCTGCTGGATGGGGATTCTGCCATGCGGGAGTCTCAAGACAGCAGGGGGACCTGACGGAAGAGGTCCCCCATGCAGTCCCCACCTCTGCCCTGCTGTGCTGACCAACGCGGCTGCTTGAGTGTGCCCCTTTTGAGCAGCGGGGGATCTGGAGAAGTTACCATTGCAGATGCTGCTTCCCGGACCCTAGATCCAGAAAGTGTCGCTCAAACAGTGTGCCTTAGAAGCAAAATGGGGATCACTTATGCATGGGTGGCGTTCTAAATTTCCAAACCCTGCGGCAGTGCATGTGGGGGGACCCCAGAACAGAAAATAAAGACAAAAACATCACGGCCAGCCATGCATTTTGCATGTCAGCGCAAAAGCAACTTCTACAGATGATGCACACTGCAGCAAGAGCGACTGTTCGCTGCGCAGTTGGCTCCATCAACGATGCTCAGCAGTCAGTCAGTCAGCATCTATTCCAGCCACCACGGTCTACGACGCCGTTCCTGCTTACTGGGGTTCAAAATGCTTGCAGCAGCACTGCTGAGCAGCAGCAGAGGAGTCCTCTGAGAGGACCCATATCTTCCAGGAGAGGTTGCAAGGCCAAAGATCGATCCTGGGGCGCGAAGGGCTGCAGCCATACTCCAAAGTGGTTCTTCACGAGGACGCCGGCATGGCCCTCAAGCGGTAAGTCGTAGACCAGTCGTCATAGAAGTGACCAGCGGGCACCTTATTGACCTTGCAATTACCTTGCATGCCCAAGGAGAGTTACCACGAGATTGTGAGATGTGCACTTGCTCTTTGAATATGCATGATTGTGTTTGAGAGGAAATTCATGAGAAATTTGCTGTTCTTGTCTACGCAGGCACACTGTGGGAGCAGCCCCACTTCTGCTGCTTGGCGCACTGCTCTCCTTTGTCCCAGCCCACCCTGCAGTTTCAGTGCTGGGATGCAAAGCGTCAGCGCTGCTGACAGGTGTGTCAATCCGGCAATCGACTCATCCGCACCCTGTTGACCCACCCGGCTCTTAGGCGCACGGTCTTTTGGTGAAGCGGGTCCATAAATACAATGGGCCTGTATAATTTTGCACTTACATGGCGACAGTTTAGCTTTGTGCTGCGCAGGCCCGAACGATCTCCAGGTCGCACTGTTTCGCGCCAAGCTTAGCGAACCAACAGCTCTCAAGACTCACTTCTCCTACCATTACAGCGCCAGCATCATCCCGGATGGCCTGTCGAATGGCACTGATCCCATTTATGTCTATACCACGCCACGGTGCGATCCTCAGCCCAAGACACTCACCCAAGCCTGGCATTCTCGGAGGTCTGTGTGGCTCTGGCACATGAAAGCTGCCTTCAAGGCGCACTGTCCACTACCAATTTATCTCCAGACTGGAATACTTGGTGGTACTTAGGCCATGTATGTATACATCTTGCCTGCCGCAATGTTGTATGTGAGAGTCTCCCGCAGGGTCCTTGTATTTGGCGCTTCCGAGCTTCTGCGTGGTGCAATGTCAGTTATTGCACGAATTTCGTCCATGCCATGCAGGGGCATGTCTCGGAATATGGAAAGCAATATCCCGCCAGCCCTGTGTGCAATTTAGCACCGTGTGACACATGGAATTTGCATGCTATGCAGATTCATCGTGACTGCCAATGTGCCAGAGGATGTTGTGGCAGCAGTGCAATTTTCAGCAGACTATGGCCTCAAAGTGTCTGCCCTGGGCACCGGGCACCAGATTTCCGGAGTTGCCTTACCCCAGTGCGGAGTCACCATCATCATGGAGAAGCTGAAAGCTATCGACTTTGACGCGGCCACTAACCTGGCCACCGTGCAGGCAAGTCCTCCTGCCAACGAGCTCCAAGGAATGTTGAGACAGTGTCCTGACAAGAGATATTCCGGCTTGCATGGCACTCTTGAAAGCGCTCTCGCCATCAGGAGAAGCTGCATGCCGTCTCCTCGACCCCGCAACCCAGCTTGCTACCATGCCGTCAAGCATTGCCGATACATTGTCATGCCAGAGAATGCCTTTGCTCGCTGGGAGTGCCCTCTGCAGCCCAGCGAATCACATGTTTGTGTGAATTTACATACTCGGGCATGCAACATTGCTGCAGTAAGCGTTTTTGCGCAGTCTGATATCCTAATGTCTGGTGCACTTGTAAATACCAGAAAGGTTGCCGGCATCAGCATGATAGCTCAAGGTGTTTCTGCGCCCGTTCCCAACACTGTGGGCACTCAAACATCGAGAGTTGGTAGTGTCAGATGACATTTATAGGTTGACATCCCAGACAACCTCAAGTCCAAGTCCATGGCAGCTGAAAATAGCCTGCACCTGCCGCTTGGCGCATAGATACTTTTGCTCCTTGTATATTTTCATTGATTCGTGAGTCATCCAAGACTGGAGGCATGTGCACGGTCTTGTGTGCAGCATGTTGCATCCATGCTAACGCGCAAGCTGAAACACCAGGCTGACTTCAGCTCTAATTCTGCAGATGGGAGTGAAGAGCGGTGAGGTGGCAGCAGCGCTGGTCCCAAAAAAGCGCTTGCCCAGCATCGGTACTTGTTTCAATGTCGGCGTTGCCGGCTTTGCGCTGCAAGGCGGCCTCGGCTTTGTGTTGCGCTACCATGGCGTCGCTGCAGACTTTATTCAAAGCATAGATGTTGTTACTGTCGGGTGAGTCTCCCTTGTGCCTAGATTGGCAGTGCTTGGACTCAATTCATATCTTCAGGTAACATGGGTAATGGCCAGGGTCCCATACCTGCCTGGTGCGGCAAAATTCACAAATACCGCGAGCGCTGTTACTGCCATTTGGGCCTTCCTGCGTCCGCCTTGCCGTGGTTTGCTAAGCCCTTCAGCAGCTTGTGACACAGTGCTTGCATCTGATTAGGCTCTGCAGCTCATGCAAAAGGGATCATGCGGGCGCTTTTGCTTTCGCAGTGCAGTGTTGCAATGCTGAGGCCCTTGCTCCCCTGTCAGTTGCAAGCATGGTGACCTGCAGGGCGGACAAGAAGGCCGTTCGTAAGACAATCAGTCCGGAAGTCGACCCCGAACTGTTCTGGGGCTTCAGAGGCGCTGGTGGGGCACTGGGAGTAGCCATCAGTTACACCACTCACGCCTTTGCCATCCCCGACAATGTGCGCATCACAGCACCTCCCTGCTTTGCTGCATTGTAAGGCACTGCAGTGGTCATGCTGCCAGCTTCTGGAGTGATTTTAGGTGCGTGCTTCATCAGAAGACGCAGTGGCAATGCACTGGACAGTCATTGACTCTGCAAAAGAGCTGCCATTCCCAAGAGTGATTGCACCGCGTATGAGATTTTCCATGACTCTGATTGGCGAGAGGTTGCGCATCGCAGCCTGTATTGCGCTGAATCTCTACTAAGTGTCTGTTGAACTGGCGCCTGCAGGTGCAGTTGGCTGCTTACACCTTCTCCATTGACATCGCTGCAGAGGTCATGGCATGGTAAGCTTCCTGGAGCCTCAAGCCACAGCTCGCTGTGAAGTTGTTTCTTAGTATGAACCATGTGCAAGTAAGTCCATCTCGCAATCGCTACTAGCCAGCACAACAATCAGCTTATGTCAGGCTTCAAGGCCCAAATGCAGCGCCGGGGTTAGCATATTGTCCACAGAATAGCATATTGCATGCTCCGGACATGTCACCATGCGCTGCAAGCTTAGCTACGAAGAGCTGCTGCGGTGCACTCAATCCATGTGATTGCCTCGATGGGAAGAGCACATGGCATCAGCAAGGAATTGCGCAAGCAACAGCCAAATGTGCACATGCTTGCTGTAGAGTTGCAGAGGTCAATCGTAGCACAACCTCTCCTCAATGGAGCATGGTCTAGTGCTGGTCCAGTCAAACAGGCCTGAGAGACTTTTGCAAGTCTTTGGGACAAGCACACCTGACGTATGTTGACATGGAGGATCATGTCACATGCAGGTCTGCCGGGATCACTGCAACATCTCCTCGTCAAATCTATCCTTTCATCGTGCTTTCCCCTGCCGGGAATGGCAAGCCTGCAACTGTGTACTTCAACGCTTTCAATCTCGGCCCGCCAACAGCAGCAACCGAGGCGTTCTTTCAGCAGGTGGCGACCTACGCTGTGCCCAGGTAATTTCGTTGGCAGCATCTATACAGTCCTCTGCATGCTGGCATGAGTGCTTGGTTGGTAGGAGTTCATGACTCTTGGACAACGTCTGTCTGACTTGTTCGGCGGAATTGGGGGTTCAGTGGAGGGAATCGTCTCTTGCAAGGCATCCACTGCATGCGCCGCACAATCTGTCATGCCACAATATGCTTGCAGCAAAATTGACTGTAGCTAGTCACAGCTCCACGAGCTCAGCATGAGGCAGAGCACAAGTGGCTCTGCTCTTGAGCTGCCAGTCTGCTGACATGCCATGGTTCAATAATTGTGAACTTGAGAAGCCTCTCTCATCGCCAATCTTCAAGGCTGCATCTGGGCTGATTTTGCTGTGCTTAGCAAGGTTAACATGACACGTACGGCATGTAGTGATTCCCAGAAGGGTCTTGTATGGCACATACGGGACAAGCATCTTGCTCTAGCCTCATTGTCTGTGAAATTTATTTTGAGGGCAAACACACTTCAAGGGTTGATCCGTGATGCGCAGGGCATCCAGCAATTCCCAGCCGGGCCAATTGTACACGGAAACGGATTACTTGAGCTTCTCAAAGGAAGAGAGTGTTGTTGAATGCGGCAATCTGAAGGCTGCTACCTATTGGAACACGTGAGCTCCATTATTGGCTGGTCTAAAAAAGAATTTGCCATCAGCCCCTCCCTAGTCCATTCAGTCACTTTTCTGTGCTTGCTTGAGGCGCACGGCCACTGCATAATATCATGTCATGTGACCCTGTTGTGGCAGCATATAGCAAGAAAGGTAGGCCAAAGATGCTCGCTTCTCGTAATACTCTGATTGACGACTCTTTGTTCTGATGCGCATGCAGATATTTCACTGCCAATGACACTTTGACAAGCGGGAACCTACCAACCGGGCTCATCGATGCAGTGATATCTCAGATCAAGGCAGCCCCTTTCGATACACTCTCTATCAGCATCTTGCCAGGCCCGAGCTTGCCCGAGGGCGAGGTGAGTCTGGATGTACCTGTATTGTTGGCTGCATGTAGTCCGTACTCACCCGATGCTGTGGGGAGCTGCTTCCATCAAGCGCCAGCTGATAGTATTATATCAAGACACCGCTCCTTGGAGCCTATAGTATTGACAAACGTGCAATGCACTGACCATTCTCCAGATTCTTGACGCATGCTACGTTATGAGAGGCAGGCTTGCTACATTGGTAGAGACAAATTTCCAAATTGCTCTGCATTTCACATCTTTCGCTTTGCAGGACGCTGCCTATTTCACACCAGATGCTTGGAGCTTCCGTGGTTCTTTCTACATCTTTGTGGGAGACACTTGGAATGTCCCAGCAAACGATGCAGAGCACATTGCTTATGTCAAAGCATCAAGCGCAGCCGTCAAGCCCTATGTGGCGGGCAATTATATCAACCGTGAGTCCCTCTGCACCGTAGCTTTTTTTTTCTTTGATGTCTTTTTTATCCTAAAGAGTGAAGTGTCTAAGGCCCCTTTGAAGTGTTGGAATTTTTACAAATACTCTGTGTGGAGAATCTGCTGGGGCTGTACACAACGTGAGGTGTGAAGCCTTGGAGCAATTAATACTTAAATGAACACTGCAAACACCGCTCCTTAATGTCAATGGGAGCGTTGTCACTGCACGCATGCATGTTATTTTGCCCTTTAATGACGTTACCCGTGGCACCAAAAGCCTCATGTCTAATGCGCTTGCTGAGCTGGCTGTCTTGTGTTTGGCTGCAGAACTTATGTTTGCGGAAGCCGACGACGCCAGAAAATCATATGAGGCGGGCATTTTCACCAGGCTGGAAGGAGTGAAGGCGGCGTTCGACCCTCTCAATCTGTTCCGGGACCTGAATTATGTGCACCCTGACGTAAAGCCGCCGACAGACTTGTTCCATGGAGAGATCTACGACTCATTGCCTTTTGCAGCTGCGGACGCAGTGGCCCCAGCACCGGACACGGCAATGGGCGGTGCTGAAGCGCCAAAACCCATGTAGAGCGGGAGGCGTGAGACTTATGTGTTCGTATGTCTTAGCATGTGCCCAGCCGTAAGGGAGGCGCAATTTGGTGCCCTGCAAGAAAACTGAATGCACCTTATCACTAAAATGGTCAAGGGCTGTGGCAAACCCGCTCTGCTTTGACATTGACATTACACTGAACATGGCCATGATATGTAAGCATGTGTTCCTTGCATGAGCAACTACAAAGCTGGCCAGACAACTTTCGGGGGAATATGAATTGATGCCATGGGGCATGCCGCCAAAATAGTCAGCAGGCCTCTGTATGGCGTGATTGATCTTGAGCCCGCTGAAGGCTGGGTTTGGCTTTCGTGTGTTAACGATCGCGGATGCAACCTTAGGTGAGCTCAAACTACCGCTGTTTTGGAGAACAAAGTACCGCCTAAACTGCCATGTGGCCTGATCCGCAAGTATAGACGGCGGTATTTACAGATGCGGCTACAATATGATAGGCCGGAGTGATTTTAAGGTCTAGCATGGTGGAGGAAGGTTGTTGAGTTTCTCCTCTGCTCAAAAGGACTTTTAGTCAATAGGGGCGATAGAGTAGCCCAGGGGTACCCGACTCCAATTGAACAATATGAAACTTCACCCTGCCGTGTCCTCATTGCAATTATAAGGAGTTCTGTGGGCTCTGATGAAAGACGATTTATACAAGATTGTGAACTTGGTCATTGATGACCTGGCCGTGGCGTTATTGTGGGTCAAAGGGAGCATGAAGCCAGTTCTGCACATGGCCAATGTGCGCATGCATCTTTCAGTTCTGTTTTGAGCGCCAGCCTTTGGATAGTATGGACTCCTCCTGAGAAAGTTTGTTGGCTGACAATCTTTCTAATTACTTGATGTTATTACAATATAATAATTATGTCTTACAACTTACATGACCTGGATGAAAAGTAGGGAAGGCGGTGCATACTTTCTTTTTGTGTTTAGTCTTTTTAAGAGAACGTGAAGACTATAGTCTAGCTAGCATATAGCATAGGATAGCACTATAGACTAGCTAGCATCACTGGAAGTGTCCCATTGTGTCACCCCGTTACAACACTATCTGTACCATGATAGTAATCCATGCTGTCAACTTCGATCGAATCATGCCCTTCTCAGGCAAGGCCCTAGGGGCCCTCAGCTAGCATTGTAATCTGATGGCCAATTGCACATATCGGGCTTGGTCCTAAGATCCAACCTCAACATCCTCCCAAAAGTGGTGTCCAAAACATCCCAGCATTGCATTTGGCGCCGCAGCCGCCAGCTCAGCGTTTGACGCCGGTGCCTGTCCTGGCGATGGCTCCGCCGCGTCCTCATGAGGTGCCGCTTTCAAAGTTTCCTGATCTGGCACCGGTCACGCCGCTTTTCCATTGGGCGACGTCACAGAGCTTTCCTGATCAGGCGCCGGCGGCTGCGCGTCCAGAACAGGCACTGGAGCGCCGCAGTGGTGACTCAGCGCGGCGAGGGCCGACTCGGAGTCCTGGCAGGAGGCGTGCGTTAAGTGGCGGGTGAAGGGTGGTCCCCCCCTGCTGCAGTTTGCGGTGGGCCGGAACGGGGGATCCCCCGGGGGTCGCCCGGCCGGCAAGCTGCGGCGCGCCGGCGCCGCCAATTGCTTCGCGGCCGTTTTTCGGCGGCTCGTTCGCTTTGAGTTCTGCCTTGACCTCCTCCAGAGTTGGACTGCACACGCGTGCTGGTCTGTGAATTCTACTGTGCTAAACCCCCTTTTGAAATCCGAAAAATGGGAACTAGAACCAAGAGCAGAAAAAAACCGAAGGCTTGACGTGGGAGGCTTTGCTCTCATGCTCAGGCGCACAGAATCGCGTCAGCACTTGGTAAGTAAAGCGTTCTAAAAGGCCTGCTGAGCACAAGCAATCCCTGGTAGATCTGCAGGCTTCTAAGAACGAATCTAAATTCCCCCGGCTTTGCATTTGCATTCGCAAATGCTGGGACTGCGCCATCCTTCTCCCTTCACAAGGAAGGCATACACCTAAAAACAAAGCACATCGTGCACCTCATAGCATACCATTTTCTTATTATTTGTACTTTGCTCTTAGATGTAATCTAGGGGCTGAAAAATTACTCATAACTCTAAAGCCAAGGCACATGGCAATCTTTGGATATATGTCACACCCAATATTGGGAGGAAGGCCACTCACACTTGATCAGCGGCCGGGAGGTGGGCAGCCAACGCATCGAGGCCCCTTCTGAGCGCAACAATTCCCTTGTCTGTCACGAGTGCCACCGGAGCAGGCGTCATTGCAAGCTAGGCACGCATCGCATCGGCGCATTCTTCCAGGGTCAGATCGGCGCAGCTCGCAGATGCCTCGAAGACCGAGGAGCACATGCCAGCCATGCTGAAGCCTGCTTAGCAGCGATGACAAAACTTCAGAAAAAATCAAATTTGAATATTCGAAATCAGAATTCCAAAATTCCCACATCTCGTTCTAGACAGGCAAAGCAGCCTTAGTGGCTGCACAGTGTGCATGCGCAGGATGGGCCCGGGTCACTGCGCTGCTGGAACGTGAATAATACTCATCAGGTAAGAAGGGAAGCAGGGATGCTCCTGCAAAATGGTTGTCCCACCGAATTTTATCTTGCACTCCTTCTGTAGGCTATGAAAACATTTGTAGGCCCCTCTTTGTGGGCAACCACGCATGTCAAGTGTCAGGGAAGGTTGAGGTCCTCTAACGGCTGACAGACAAAGAGGGGAGATTTGGCAAGGTGCGTCAGACTTGCAGAATCTATTGACAAATTCTGGGCTTGCGTCATGCAGATAGAGCAGCACTGGGCTGCAGAATCCAAGAAACCAAGGACTGCCAACGCAATCAAACTCTTTGCTTACATTTCTTTCTCTTTCTTCCTTTCTTTTCAGACTCTTCAATTTGATGTGGATGAAATGGGGCATACCAGAATTGGAATCCTGATGTTGAGATCAAAACGCTGCCCTAATTGCCCTCATTGAAAAGCGACCTTACCGACGTATTTGCCAGGGGAACAATATCCAAGCAATTGAGGAACTTCAAGATAAATTGAATATGAATCTCTCTGGCTTTCAGAGGGGCAGCAGCTGTTTGGTTTCATCCTCCGCGACCGCCGCCACTGCGCCACGGGGTATCCTGAAGTCACTGTCTATCTTTGACGATGAAGTAATACCACACTTCCGGGTTTGAAGTCAAAACGCTGCCCTGGAAGTGCCTTAATTTAGGGACCCTCACCGATGGAGACGTCCGGGGCGGCGCAGCATTTGGGCAGCAGCCGCCGCAGTTGTTCGGTTTCGTCCCCCGCGGCCGCCGCCAGTGCCCCGGGGTGTACCAGGTCCTCCCTCTCCTGACGCCGCCGCGGCGCAGGCCGATCCTCCTGCTTTCGCCACATTTGGGCTCCTCCTCGGATAATGACTCATGCAATAACTCACCGCCCGGCTGCTCCGGCGGCCGCCGCCCCCGCGTTGACCGGCGCGTGGCCCTCGGCGGCTGCGCTGACTCAGCAGCTTCTGGCAGCCGCCGCGTGTGCACAGGATGCCTCCCAGCGGCGGCCTTTCCCCGGCGGCTCTTCACTGCTCTGTTGCCTCGGTCCTGCCCTGGCTCGATTGCACCATATCCGGCTGCTGTGGGCGTCTCTTCTGAGTTGTTGCTGCTCCGAGCGCGCTTGCGAGTGGCGGCTGCCTCTCGCTGCTGATTGACACCTCTGCGCAGCCGTGGAGAGTTGTCTGCTTCTGCACCAGCCCTGCAATGCGACCCATGCACAATTTAGGCCTTATCCCCAGGTATGCAGCTTTCACTCTGCGTTAAAGGCTGCAACTTCTCATTTAGAGAGGATCACAAATGCCATGAGCTGATACATGGATGTTCAACGCAGCTTCTGGAGAATCCCACTGACAGAATTCAACTGAATGGTGATTGCTGATACAGCAGTGCATGTGAACTGGACAAGAAGGAGGGGCCATTAAAAACACTACGAAAAAGTGCTGTATAAACACACAATCCAGTAGGGTGAATAGTCATGAGATGTAGTTTTAATCTTGATATCACCCACAAGAAGCATGTAAGCATACCTGCCGGTTTGCAGCCTGCTCGTGAGTGTGTCTTCCGCCTGAACTGTCTCATTAATAGCTGAAATTGTCACGTCATCATCATCAGTCACTGCCATGGGATTATCAGCCGCTGTGGGTTCGTCTTCAAAGAGGCGCTCCCCAAATTCCAAATAGCTGCCTGCCTCAGCAGGGCGCTCCTCTGGCAGAGGGTTGGGCTCTGTCATCGCAATCCCCATAACCACCCCCGGCGGCAGACTACGCGCTGCTGCCAAGCGGGCGGCTGCCTGCGCGCTGCGCGGCTGCCCAAAAGCTGCGCGAGCGGCTGCTGCCAGAACAGGCGCCGCGGCCTGCGGCTGCATGGAAGCTGCCGGGGGCTGGCCCCGTGCGGCGGCAGTGTCTGCGGCGGCATGCTGCGGCTGCGCGGCAGCTGCCATCGCCGGCCGGCTCCCTGCAGCCTTGTCTTCAGTAGCACGCTGCGGCTGCGCGGCGGCTGCCGCTGGCTGGCTCCCTGCAGCAGCTGTGCCTGCAGCAATGCACACGATTTGACTTTAGGCTGCCATCTGCTGCTTGGCACCAGTGTGCTGCGAACCAGCCAAGGGTTGTCTCTGCTACTCCACAATGTCCACCGCCCAACACTGAAGTAAGGCCGCCATATGGATAGCATGTAAGGATAGATAGGCAGAAACACTTCAACTCCCAAATATGAGCTCGGCTACATGCAGGTCTCACAACCAATTAGTCAAGCCACAGAGACAATGATTCCTTTCTCAGGGGTGCTGATAGAGAGTGGTCAGATTGGCATGTGAAGGCACTCACCGGCGCTCTCTGCTTGCTGCAGTCTGGTCTCGATCTGGATCCAGCTACGGAGCTGCCGTCTGCGGCTGCGCGGCGAGAGTATGGGACCTGCCACGCACACGTGTACAGCGCTTAGCCTCTCATTAGATGCTTAGGCATTACGTATATTATATAATCAAAAAACCTAACCCTAAATCTATGGGTGGTACGAAAGCTCTGTGGCACCCCATTTCCACAGAGGTCTTGTTTCACCAGGACTCAGATGCCCCTTGGGACATGTCTTGAAAGAGGGAGCGCTGATGATCGAATTGTTTTGCCGGGTTTGCCAGGTTGCGCCAGTGGCAAAAGCGCTGTCAGGTACTACCCAAGGTCAGCCTCTCAAGCATGCAGACAGGCACTGGAAAAATTGCGCATATGCTGTCTGGGGAGCATGCTACGAGACGCACAGCAGACAGGTGATTCAGCCTGCAGTTTTGAGAGTATGGCACCAAACAAACCAGAAGGCATAAGCAGTTTTAAGCAGTGTGCTTGCGTTAGGGCAGGGAGCCAGACACCAAGAAGACACCAAGAAGACATCGAGAGTATAGAGGATGGATGCACAGGAAAGAGACAAAAATGAGAGAATGAGTGGCAGAGAGAGGGAGTTAGGAGGTCTCACCGCTCGCAGGTCCGACTCAAAGGCAGTCATCCTGCGCCGCTTGGTCCCAAGCCACCGGCTTCGCAGCGGCGGCCGTCGGCTGGCGAGGGGCAGTGGAGTCACTGGCAGCAGAAGAACCTGCTCCAACCCCGCTACCACATGGGGTGCCAACTGAGGGGCAAGGGGCGGCAGCGAGGTGCGCCAAGGCCGGGGCCGGTGTTGGCGCCGCTGGCCCGGCCGGGGCCACTGGTGCTCCTGGAGCGGAATTTGCACCTGCAGAGATTGGGGCCGCCTGTTCAGGCAGTCGCGGCTGCTCAGCTACGGCCGCCGGCAGACGCTGGGCCGGCGGTGGCTGCGTGGATCTTGCGGCTGTGGTAAGATCAGCTGCCTGTTCCGACAGGCCCGACTGCTCGGCTGTGGCGGCCAGAAGGGGCTGGGCCGGGGCCGGGACATGGGCCAAGCAGGTGTTGAGAAGAGCCACTTGGCCAGCCGCCCAGTGGATGACGTCCTCCCCTGGCCGCCGCTCGCGCCACCGCCGCTCGACGTCCGCATCAGAGGCCGCCCAGAACTCCTGAGTTGCTAGAGATGCCAGCGGCTGCTGGGCCACAAGCGGGGCGGCTTCGCCTGCCGGCCGCGCGCCTGAAGACGGGTGCGGCAATGGCTCCCGCGGCCGCTCCGGCTGCGGCGGCGCAGAGCTGACGTCGGCCATAATTCCTGCCGCCGGCATGTGTTGGGTATTTGCGCGCCGGGGCTGCGCTGCAGGAAAATCCGCCATTGCAGTGGCAACGGTGGCCGCTGCTGCTGAGGAGGAGGAAGCTGGCTGAGCCGGCTGCTGCCGCTCTGGTGCCGGCTGCACGGGGCCGTCCCCGGTCGCCGCCGGCCACGCGCGCGGCTGCGTCGGGCCAGTTGGCGGTGGCGCACGCTGCTGTTGCGCAGGAAGCTCTGCCGCCGCTGCTGCTGCTGAGGCAGGTCGCTGCGCAACTGGCTCTGCCTGACGGTGCAGCTGCGAGTGCGCTAGCGGGCGCTGCACATCTGCATCTGCAACAGCGGCGCCCCGCAATGGCACAGGCGGCTGCACGCGCGCCTGATGCACAGGCGCCAACGGCGGACCCGCCTCCCCTGATGCGCGACGCCCCAGCGACATCATCTCCCTCCGCTCGAGAGGTTCAGGTCGCTTGACCGGGGACAGCTCTCGGTCTACTTCCATGCGTGCAGGCCGGCCAGCGCCGTCCCAAGCTGGACCCGGCTTCCGGACTTCTGCCTGCCGCCGCGCCGGGGCTGCGGCGTGCGACTCCGGCCGCATCGGCGCTCGGTCGGCCGCAGGCGCGCGAGGCGGCAGCGGCTGGACGCCTCTGACAGCACTGCCCTCTTCCTCCTGCTTGAGTTTGAAAGCAAGCTGCGCAGCGGCTGCCCGGGCGGGTTCTGCGTTGGGTGCCGCGGCCGCATGCGCATTCCGCGGCGGCGGCAGCGGGCGCATGCGCCAGCCGCGCCGGCGGCCGCAGGCGCCCCATCTGTCCTCTTCTGTCGGTTGGGCGTTTGAATCCGGGCGCGCCGCCAGATCTGGCTCTGATGACGGTGCCCGATTTGGTGCTGGCACGAAAATGATAACGTCCTCATCATCGCTCTCATTGATGTAGATGACTGCTTGTGGGTGGTGCCGGTCCCCAGAGAGGTCCGGCGCGCCGTAGCTCACACCGCACCTCAATGGGTTGACCTCTGCCAGAACAAAAGGACACAAATGTAGTCGCCAACATAAATATCTTATAGTAACATAAATTTTATAGTTACATGGCTT